CGCGCTACTGGCTTCTTTTGGAACATAATCTTTAATTACTCAAACAAACAGAAAATCAGGTACATTCATTCATACCCAACAAATAGATGATGTGATCAGAGAATAATAAGCGACTAGCCCCTAAAATACACTAAAATAGTTGGATAACCTAATCCATTGAGATTTACAAGTCGTTTTGAAACATTAAAGATTCTCACCATTTCTGATGGCCTTTGACTGTAAGTTTCTTTTGCTGGTAAATAAAATTTAGTTGCAGTGTTTTCTTCATCGAGATTTCACGGAACAAATGTGAAATCCAGTTGTTCAGGCAACAGAAGTAGACAATAGTCAAGTAATTTAGAGAAGTTAATATATAACAATATACTAATTGTTGTATTAGTACTCAGCAGTTATAATATAAACAGGAGGTGACGGTGATTTCTAACTTCTCATGAGTAGTCACATTAAATCAAAAATTCTTCTATCTCTAGAGCTTTTTGTTCGAAGCAAATCTGATTAGGTGGCTGTATCCAAGAAAATGTTTGTTTCACATTGCCTATGACCTATTATAAACAATCAAAATTGCGAAACTCCTCATGCCTTCGCCTTTTTATTTATTTTGTTCAATAGATTTGGATATGGCAAAACTATCATGAGGGGAAGTACGGGTGCGACAGTTTAATCACAAAAAAAACGATTAAAAGGGGAAAATTTGCGGATTTAGTGGAATCATTGAAATGACGTTTAATAGAGCCGAAAAGAAAAAAGCAAAATTTCATCTTAAAAAGATGACATGTTCCCTCTATGGTGCATGACTTTACAATTTAAAGTATAAGTTTTCAACAGTTTAAAGAAGACTGCTTCAATACTTATGAATGCACCCCATTCTCCTATCAGAAAGGCAGCCCTCGTTAACTTTGCACCGGTTAAACCAAACTTCCTGTAAGACTCTTCCGTCTTTGACGATCACGTGTTCTCGACGCTATCAGTCGTGACTAGGTACAGGGGATGAGTCATTTGAACAAATGATACCATAGAATTTCTGATCCTCTGAGCTCGGTCTTATCGATCAAAATGAAAAGATATAATTTCAGGTGTTTGCTATTCGGATCGATACAGGACCTTTGAGTAGGAAAAAATTTGAAGACTTTGAGAAATTGTATTCTAAGGTATGGCAATGAACAGGATATTGTCGGATTAAGAACTGTATTTTTCTTTAGCTGAAAGACTACATTCCTGCGACAATATCTGCACCACCGAAGAAAAAACTTCTACAGGCGGAGGCGAAATTACAAGAAAAGAGGCGACAATGGATAGTCGCATTTTCGCAAACGCTGCTTTCAACACAGTACAACAAGTATGAAAATTTTTCTAGAAACATTTTGTGTACAGCGG